AGACAATACTGTCTCACTCATATGTGGAACAAAAACAGTCAAAAACTCACAGAAACAGAAAGTAGGACAGCAGTTGCCAGGGACTAGGGTGAGAGAGAGATTGGTCAAAGGGCACGAACTTTCTGCTAATGAGATGAGTAAGTTCGAGGATCTAATGTACAGCATGGTGGCTACTGTTATTAATACTGTATTGTTTACTTGAAATTGGTAAAAGAATAGATTTTAAGTGTCTTCACCACACTCATGCACACAACAGGCACACACATAAATGGTTAACTATGGGTGTTATATGTTTATGGTTGTTAATTAACTTGACTATAGTAATCGGGACAGGATGTACCTGTACATAAAATCATTACATTGTATACCATGAATATATACAGTTTGTGTCAATTTTTTAAAGTGGGGGAAAGAAAGCCAATGAATCTTCTAACAAAAGTATAAGGTAATTTCTCCAAGATCACAAGCAGAACTTGAATAAGAAACCAAGTCTCTTAATTGCTGGCAGGTGCTTGTTATACTACAAAAAATGCTAAAGCCTACATGTTTTTCCTGGAATCAGAAGGAACTGGGATCAAGTCCTTGTTCTGCCACCAAAAAGAATGCTTTTCAGTGGCTCCTTGCTGGCAATACAGGAATGATGTTAATAAAGCGGCCCACTTAACTCTCAGGGTGGTCACTAAAATTAAAGGAAAAAATATGTGCGGAATCCTAAAACTACTAAATAACTGTGTGTGAGGGGTGTTTTTGTTTTTGTTCTGTTGTTTTTTGAGACAGCGTCTCACTCTGTCACCCAGGCTAGACTGCAGTGGCAGCGATCAAGGCTCAATGAAGCCCCGACCTCCTAAGCTCTAGCAATCCTCCCACTCCAGCCTCCCAAGCAGCTAGGACTACAGGAGTATACCGCCTCGCTCGGCTAATTTTTCTACTTTTTATAGAGACAGGATTTTGCCAAGTTGCCAAGGCTGGTCTCAAAATCCTGGGCTCAAATGATCCCCCTACCTCAGCCTCCCAAAGTGCTGGGATTACAGGTGTAAGCCACCACACCCAGCCTAAATAAATGTTAATAGTAGCAATAATGACTTAATTTTTTTTAGCTGTATCAAAATACTGTAATAAGGCCGGGCGCGGTGGCTCAAGCCTGTAATCCCAGCACTTTGGGAGGCCGAGACGGGCGGATCACAAGGTCAGGAGATGGAGACCATCCTGGCGAACACGGTGAAACCCCGTCTCTACTAAAAATACAAAAAATTAGCCGGGCGGGGTGGCGGCGCCTGTAGTCCCAGCTACTCGGGAGGCTGAGGCAGGAGAATGGCGTGAACCCAGGAGGCGGAGCTTGCAGTGAGCTGAGATCACGCCACTGTACTCCAGCCTGGGCGACAGAGCGAGACTCCGTCTCAAAAAAAAAAAAAATACTGTAATAATACATAATACTGAAAAGTTTCTCGAATGATAGATTTTCCAATGTTTGAAAACTGGCCACCAAATTGACTGCAGCTACAAGATTCTTATTCTTATACGAAACCCTTCACCCCATCTTCTAAGCCTCAAACATGTTTCATTCTCTTAATTCTTCATTTTTCCAATAACATTTATCAGGAGGAGGAGCACATTTTGCTCATTTAGATTATCTATGTTGCTGGCACTTTTTAACTTGCATATCTTTCTAACTGAAACTAAAGCACGCTCGAGAAAACCAGGGATCACACCTTCTGCTCAGGTAAGTTCAATCACTCCCTCAGGCAGCCTGAGGGAGCAGACAAAGAAAGATATTCTGTTCAGTAACCAGAGTCAGATGGGAGGAGAGAAGCACTTACCAGTAAGAAGGAAAACAGTGACTGATCTATCTGAATAAATTCTAATAAAGTACAATTCACATTTCTTTTCAAAATACGAAGATTAAAATAATCTTATATTAACTTACAGATTCCAAACCTCTGTGAACTTACAAAATCTAAACTAAGACTAAATAATCTAATAAAAATATTTCAATACAGCCATGAGACAGTTTATCAATCTAGAGGAAAGTCTCCATTTAAAAAGTTCTGTGAGAATTATAACAGCTCACAAACTATCAGGAATGATACATGATTTGACTGTGTAACTTTCACCAACTGTGACTGTTTCACTCTACAGGATTTTACACTCTACCCAAGGCATTCACTTTATTAGGAGGCAATTGCTTCCTCTTTGAAAAGTAAGTTCCGCCAAGAGTGGTGGCTCACGCCTATAACCCCAGCATTTTGGGAGGCCAAGGCGGGTGGATCACATGAGGTCAGGAGTTGGGGACCAGCCTGGCCAACATGGTGAAACCACATCTCTACTAAAAACACAAAAAATTAGCTGGGTGCGGTGGTGCATGCCTGCAATCCCAGCTACTCGGGAGGCTGAGGCAGGAGAATCGCTTGAACCTGGGAGGCGGAGGCTACAGTGAGCCAAGGTAGTGCCACTGTACTCCAGCCTGGGCAACAAGAGTGAAACTCTGTCTCAAAAATAAGTTCCTTCTATTCAGCCACTTCACTCAACTGGCATTTGGGCTTTCTGATCAGCCCTTCTTTATGTATTTTACTCCTTTCACATTCTTATTTTTATGTTTTCTAAATACACCCAGGAATATAGATCCAAATTCATTCTAGGTTATTTCCTGAAAGTCAGGCCAACTGGCTAGAGATGCATTATTCTAAGTGATAACTTTTCACTTGTGCCACAGAGATAAATGCTAGTAAGATAAGCCATGAGGAAGTAATTATAAATATCTTTCTTGGAGGTTGGTGATGGCTAAATCTGCAGCCAGAAAAATTCAACAGAAACTTGATTATACAGGGCACATGCCCTCAGGACCTCCTGAGGCTATGTCACAGGAAAAAAAAAAAAAAAGAAAGGAAGAAAGAAAAAAAATATATATATGTTTTTTTTAAAAAAAGAAACTTGATTATCCTATTGTTGAAAACTCTTGGTTCCACGTTATCTGATCCCCAAATATCTTTCTTTGATTTTCTGAAGAGTTTTATTTATTCCTTAGGAAACATGGCACAGCCTCCATCACTGCAGTCACTTTCTTCTTCGATTTCTACCATTTTATATATGATCTTCACTGGACAAAGAACAAGTTCATTGCACTAATAAGAATGTTACTTTCTTACCTTACACTAAAGAAACTATAAAGAATACATACAGCCATTTCCCTGTTACATAAAAGTAGACTGCAGAATATATACTTTACTATCCTTCAGGACCTTCTACAAAGGAGAATATATTGTTACATACTGTTTTTAAAAATTATAAAACTGACAACCTCTTGCACTCTCAGAACACACAGAATATAAAAGCATAAACTTTTATATTTTTTCAGACAAAACCATCAATTAAAAAATTCACTATCTCTTTTAGCAACGTTCTTTGTGTAAAAACTAGCAACTAATTTTTAAACAGTAGCTAAGAATTTTTAGAAAATAAACAGTATAAAACTTACAAAAATTGAATATGGAAGGGTTATAGTATAAAAAAGGATATTTTAAAAGAAGGACAGAAATCCTCTGTTCTAATCCCAGCCTAAAGACAGCTAGATATGGAAGCTAAGATCCGTCACTGAATGTCTATGTGGCCCTCAGTTCCTTCCTTCATGTAACGTGAGCTTTCAATACGGCACACCTTTAAAATCTAAATTCTGAGATTCTAAGAAAAGACGGATTTGAGATAAAGCCCATTTTCTATTTCAACTGCTACAAGCATAGAAAGAAACTACCTAGCTCTTTTATGTTTACTAAGTAGTAAAAATGTAGTAACCAATTCAACTGTGACATGATTGCAAAAGGAGATTAACCTGATGAACAAACATTTCAACTGGTACCAAAAGAATTTTCATACTTGTGTAAAGGTGGACAATACCAACATGCCCAAAGAGTTTGATGGAATGATGTAAACTTTCTGTAGTTCCAAAACACCGGGTGATAGGTTACCTTTTGGAGCTTTCAGACTGGAGGATATACAAAGAGTTAATCAAACTAGCATATTGTTTTCACAGAGATTTTTCTAAAAAGGATTTAGAGACTTTTATAGCCAGAAACAATTAGGGAATACTTGTTTCACTATTTCCTTTAAACCAGAAGACGGCTGTATATTTAAAATAAAATTGCAATATGAAAGTCTGCTAAAAGCACTTTTTTTGTTGTTTGTGCATTTTGTTTGTCACCCAATGTCACACTAACAATTCTGCATCTCATTCCAAAGCACATTATACTTAGAGATAAAATGAAAAAGACCATTTTTTGTTTCCCCAAGGGGAAAGTACTTCTGTTAAAAGCATCTTTTTATGAGACGATTCTTTCTGAATTACCAATAATGCAAACCAAAGAATTAGATACTGTACTCTAAAATTTAATATTTGTTCAATTCTTATTCATATCCTATAGTCATCCCATGTGTACAAGGGAAAAGTATGATAAATGCTTAAACGTACTTAAGAACCTGAAAGATTGAACATTTTTGTCCTTCAATCAGCAGGCTGTCAGGTCATGAGTACTCATTTTACAATAAAAGTTTTCCTGCCTTTCCTATTATTCTAACTAAGCTCAGTTAAAAACAGATTGGCCCACAAAGAAAATGGCCACACTTTTTGTTTTCATGAACCTGATTGTATATACAACTTTATTTTCATTAAAGGTAGACAATCTGATTTCAAACACTATATATAAAATCAAGAACTAAAGAGTTTTTTTAAGAACTTAAAAATAATGAACTGCTTAGAACTACATTCGTTAAGTTTGAATATCAGGATCAGAGATGAAATAAGAAATGAAATTAATGAAATTCGGATGAAAGAAATCCATCCTGTTTTGTTTTTTTAAATGCTTACACATAATACTTCATGGCGACTTAAAACAATTCCATTTTCTCATAATACTCAGGAATAAGTATGCTTTTCCAAAGAATCCAATTAGATGTGCGTGCAAACTGTCATACTGGGAACCATTACAAACCAGTAAAAAGCACAATCTAACCTTGAACATTTTTTTCCTTCTGATGTCCAACTAGCAACGGCCAGAAATAGTGAGTTCTGATAGGAAAACCTTCCTCCTTCACAGCCTTCATTAGGACTTTTGCCAAATCTGAAAGAGATATCATAAAATATCACAAAGCTACCTCAGCAAAACTTCCTTACGTTGGCTTTAACTTTTAAGAATGTAGTACCAGTTTTTTTGGCAAGTAAAGCACAATGGAGGGTGAACTGCAGAGGAAAGGAGTGCATCTGGATTTCCTTTAACTTCTTACAGTAGTCTGTTAGCTTCTCCACAGGCTGTGGGAAAAAAGTCACCACATTAGCTGGATTGGCAAACATCTTACCGTTTGAACTGCTGCAAATATTCTATCACTTCTGAGATGAGCAGTTTAAATCCCGCATCCTCTTTCTACCCAAAAATCTTGCAACACAAGAACAAGGTTGTTATAATGTTCACAACTAGTCTAATCTCATAAATATTCCTATATTTTAAAGAATCTTATTTCACTGCCAATTATATTGTCTACAAAGTAAAAGTGGACAGAATACCGTATTCATAGTCACACAGTGTCGTAAAAAGAAACTGCCAAAGTCACTTATGCCATCTTCCTTTGATACAGGGCATGATAGTAAAATTTGCAAAGCTACATCTTCCAATTTTTCAGTGACTAAAAGTAAAACGAGGTTCATTGCATCTGGGAAGAAAACAAAGACATCTTTTGTTAGTAAACTGAACAATATTTTTACATTGCAACCAATGTTCCGATACTAAAGACAAAATAAGAATTGCAAACATCAATAGCATATATCTGCCTAAATAACAATAAAACACTTGCAAATCAAATCATCCCCATGTACTCATTAACTCATGTTTTTGGGCTTATTTAACTGACTTTAAGAGTTCTATGTTCAACTCCCACAATGCCCATTGTTAGAAAATGTACTTTCCATCATATAAGAACAGCAATTCAGATTTTTATAAAAATCATGTAAATAGATTTTTATAAAACTACCTGGAATATATCTTCTTTCACATGTAACTTTTTCCAAAATTTCTGAGACATACTGAGGATACCCAGCTTTACTGAAGCTAAAAATAATTTGGAATAAATCACGGTCCATAAGGTGAAGCTCGGACTTCTCCACCTTCTCCAGAGTCTACAGAGAGTTCCAGAAATTAGAAGACCAAGTTAGAGTGTTTTTATTTAAGTATTAAAGTTAAATAAATTAAAATATCCAGATTCAAAACAGTAGGGAAAAACACCACCTAAAGTTTTAGGACTTCTTTTAAAACATAGGAAATACTCGGCCGGGTGCGGTGGTTCACGCTTGTAATCCCAGCACTTTGGAAGGCCGAGGAGGGTGGATCACGAAGTCAGGAGATGGAGACCACGGTGAAACTCTGTCTCTACTAAAAATACAAAAAATTGGCCAGGCCTGGTGGCGGGTGCCTGGAGTCCCAGCTACTCGGAGAGGCTGAGGCAGGAGAATGGCGTGAACCTGTGAGGCGGAGATTGCAGTGAGCCGAGATTGCGCCACTGCACTCCAGCCTGGGCGACAGAGCAAGACTCCATCTCAAAAAAAATAAAAAGGAAATACTCTACTTCAACAGTAACTGTTATATTATCAGCACCAAGATACTGAACTATAATAATTCTCCATAAATACTACATCTTTGAAAACAGGTATTGGCCAGGCGCGGTGGCTCAAGCCTGTAATCCCAGAACTTTGGGAGGCCGAGTTGGGCGGATCACGAGGTCAGGAGATCGAGACCATCCTGGCTAACACGGTGAAACCCCATACAAAAAACTAGCCGGGTGAGGTGGTGGGCACCTGTAGTCCCAGCTACTAGGGAGGCTGAGGCAGGAGAATGGCGTAAACCCGGGAGGCAGAGCTTGCAGTGAGCTGAGATCCGGCCACTGCACTCCAGCCTGGGCGACAGAGCGAGACTCCGTCTCAAAAAAAAAAAAAAAAAAAGAAAACAGGTATAAACTACGCTTTGCTGCCTCATATAAAACATAACACAAGTTTTTACAAATGATTTTAAAGTATGTTTATTTAGACATAAGTCATACCTGCTTAACATGGTCAATGTCGCCCTTCTCAGCATATGCATTCAATAATGCGAGGTATGTGTCTGGACCAGGCTCAATTCCAGCCTCTCTCATCACTGTGAGAATGTTTTCTGCATTCTCCATATCACTACAAGTTAATCCAAAAAACAGATTACCATGCTCTTGCCAAATGTAATATAGTTATTCAAACTAAAACATACGCTTATTAAAATCAAAAATGCTAAGTATCATTTGGAATTATGATGTCAGAAAACAAATGTATATTAAACTGGATATATGTTTCTGAAATAAAGATCATAAACATCTGATCCCTCATTAAGAAAAATAATAATTACGCAGACATTAAATAACGTATACCCTCTTACATTATGTAGGTTATGACTCAGACTTAACTTACAAGGTAAGAATAACGTTTAGTAAACTACTCTTCAAAAATAAAAATATTTTCCAGAGCAGTTACTTCAGATCAAGCCCAGTTTCTTTTTTCTTTTCTTTTCTTTTTTTTTTGAGATGGAGTCTTGCTCTGTCTCCCAGGCTGGAGTGCAATGGCGCGATCTCGGCCCACTGCAATCTCTGCCTCCTGGGTTCAAACAATTCTCCTGCCTCAGAATCCCGAGTAGCTGGGATCACAGGCACCTGCCATCATGCCCAGCTAATTTTTATATTTTTGTAGAGACCAGGTTTCACCATGTTGGCCAGGCTGGTCTTGAACTCCTGACATCAGGTGATCTGCCCACCTCAGCCTCCCCAAAGTGCTGGGATTACAGGTGTGAGCCACCGCGCCCGGCCTATAGCCCAATTTCTAAAAATTCAAATAAAAGATTTGTGGAATAAATGTAAAAGCACGTTATAAAAATATTAGTATGCTCTACCTCATATACTACAGATTTTTTTTGAAGGGGTAGACAAACATATTTTAGGAGTAGACAAACATATTTTAGGAACTGTCTACAACAATTTTATCTAATTTAAACCCCACTTAACAAACAAAAAAGGAGTAAAATGACCACTTTAGCATCTCAGCCATCTATCACTTAAGAATCAAAACCTTAGGTTAAACATTACCCAGCTCTGGCATGCCCTGTCACAAGGGCACTGAATACTGCCTCTGTAACTGGGAGATCCTTAGTTTTCATAAATCCAAGAATCTTGCTGCAAAGGAAAAACGAAGATACTCATTGAAAGTATTTATCAAGAAAACTCTTTACAACATGTATAGAATTAGGTTAGGCCTTGAGTTACTTTTGTTTTTAAAATATAATAGTAACACACACTTGTTTTAGAAACCACCAAGAAAGAACTGATCCCTTTGATCCCCTTTCCACAAAACCCCACTCTTTAAAGTATCAATAGTCTTGAAGTACTCTTGATACAAATACTAGATTTTTAAAAATCTGATTTGTCTTACACTACTAATTACCTTTGTAAAAGCATAGTTTTGTAAGATTCATTTAGATAAAAATGAAATTATGTATTCCAATTTATCCCTTATTTTCCAAACCTTCCATTCATAAGTAGTAATAAATTTTATAAGCAGAGAAATGGTGCAACTGATTTTCCATTAGTCAGTGGACTAAAGAGACTATTCCCAGTTTTATAAATGAATACAGCTTAAATAGCTAAGAACATTTCCCTTAGGAAATATTTAAAAAAAAAAAAAAAAAAAAAAAGCTTTATAGCTCAACGACTTTATACCTCTCTCTAGTAAATCAAATTTTTAATTAAAACAGCAACTTTTACTTATCTTTTCTCTCTTATACAATAATTTTATATTTTATGTAAGTCAGATTACCAGATTTGCTAGATTAAAACAGTTCTGAAACAATTTCCTTCATTAGGAAGAAGCTTTAAAACAAAGAGTGAACAGACATTTAGAGTTACAAAATGTACAAATTTGTTCACTTAAATATGTTCATACAGATCCATACCTGGCACCTTCAATATCTCCCATATTACAGTAAGAAGCAATCAATCTCTGGTATGTCACCTGTCAATGAAAATGGGCCAGTTAATTTTACATATACTTTTTTTTCTGAGTAAAGAAAAAAAATGGTGGATGTGAAAATATATATTCACAATAGCAACTACTTACTCGATTTGGTTGAATGTTCGCTTCCTCCATTTTTGCCAGGAAATCAGTTGGTGAGAATTTATATTCATTTTGAAGATAGACTTTAAGTAAAGCATTATAGTGACTCACGTCATACACAGCACCTACAAATGAAATTTAAAATCAATGTTTAGAAAAGTATTGAAAATCCTATGCTTTAAAGTGGAACTAAATTTAACAAACAAAAAGAGTAAAACTATCACTTCAGCATTTCACCCATCCATCTTTGCACTCAGACTTATCTACACAGATACTCTGTCACACAGAGCAAACTAAGCATGTAAGACAGTAATTACTGAATTATTGTATAGTCACAAGTAACTGCCTATTCAGATATTAAAAGGCCTCTTACTTAAGAAGTACAAAATTATCTTCCTGTTAGAAAACGCTGACAACACCCCTATATTTAAAAGTGACTATAAGATTTTTCTATATAAAGCAGTCCTCACATTACAGACACACTGTGATGAACGGATTGTAACTTCAGTTCTTTCACACAGTAGGACTGTGCTGGCAATTCTGCCACTCAAAGCCTTCATTTGAAGGGTGCATTCCATTTTCAGCTAATGAACATGATCCATGGTCTGCTCTTGTTAATGATCGGTATTCCAATGCCCTTTGTTTTCTTTGTATCCCTACTATTTAGGGCCACATCAAATAATGTTACCACACATCCTTACTCTACTCAGTCATGACATCACAGTCCTTATATCAATTTTGTGGTAACATGACTCACTATATTTTCATGAATTAAATTTCACATCTTTATTCTACTGCCTGTGACCATACAGGCCTACGGTCAGTATTTAGGGGTCAGATTATGAGATTTTAGGCAGCAGAGACCTGTTCCATTAAATACATACACATTTTTATCTTAACAGATACGTTTCGTTCATATTTACTATGTTTCAGGCACTATGCTAAGTGTTCTACATATAGTGGCTCACTTAAACTTCACAACAACTTTGAGACACTACTATCACCCCCATCTTACAGATAGCTTAGATCTGTCAACAGTTCATTCTGTAATTTTGGACAAGTTACTTAAACTAAAATATCTCTTGTATCTTTATAAATCTGTAAACAAGAGTCAAACTTGCGAAGTACAAGGTTTCTGGCAATATTAATTCAACAAGTATGTATCAAATGCCATTATACACAAAGCATCATGCTACTGGCAAAGCAGGAAAATAAAGAAGCTATGGATTTAATCCTCATAAAGCATACACTTATATAGGAGAGACCTATTTGTAAATAATTTTAAAATAATAACACATTGTCAGTCTTTCTATGGAGGTATCAATATGATTACTGCTGTGTAACGCTTTTTTCTATTTTAGAATGTAACCTTTTCTGCATACATTTCTCCCAGTTCAATGACTTACTGACATACAGGAATTTCTAATTTTTAGAGATTGAATACTTTAGCTTTACTTTTCTGCTCCTTTTATACTTATAAAATCCTTTTCCATTCTGAAATTCAACATTTATTTATATATTTTTTAACTTAAAAAAAAATCAACTTATCAAAATGTATTCTAGATGTATTCAAAACTGTGAAGGAAGAATCTGTCTTTATCCTATAGTTTTTTCACATAGGTCCTACACACTTTTTGAAGGACAGTTGTAAATATTTTATTTATTTGTGGCCATACTTTCTTGGATTGTTGTATCCATTTTCTTTTATAACTAGAAGAGGTATGGATTCTTAAACATTTAGTAAGTCAGCTAATTACTGTGAGTTGATTTTCTGGGATTTTACAGATTAAACAATCACATCATCTAAAAATGAAAATTTCTTGTACTGTTTCACATCTTATTTCATTGCATTATACATGATTGTTGTTGGTTTTAGATTTTTAACACAATAAAGAAGCATCCTTCTATATGTTAAGATTTTTTAAAATCAGGAATGAACATTAAATTTTATTAAACGATCTTTTTTCAAATTATTTTTTGAATATGTACTACATTACATGACTTAAAATTGAAAAGGTATAAAAAGGTAGAGTAAAACCTGTATCCAGTGTTCATCATCCTTCCAGAAATATTTTAATACTATATACACATGCACATGTATAAACATTTTTCTTCAAAATACTATCATTCTATACATTCTGGTCTACACCTTAATTTTTATTTATACTCTGGAGAACACCCCCATTGGTATATAAAGAGCTTCTTCATTTCTTAAAACAGTTACACAGTAATCTATTTTATGGGTACTCCACAATTTATTTACCTAATCCCCTAGAGAGGAATATTTGAATCGGTTCCAATTTCTTACTACTACAAACAAGCTACAATGAAGAATATCCTTTTGCATCTATGAGTATATCTATATCTAAATTCAAATGGAAATGCTTGGTAAAATGGTATGTGCATTTATAACTTTGACAGACAAACTGGCTATTTTGTTCTTTTTATTTTTTAACTTACCATACTTGTAACACTTGTTATGAAAAATTATTTATTGTTAATGCCCCTAGATGTCACTATACCTCACCAAATAAATATTACCAAAAAATTATGAATCAAGTAGCCCTTCCATAAAACTGAATTATACCATTTATGTAAACAAACATTTTTTTGCAAAAAGAAAAAATATCTACACCTTTTATACACATCATATATTTAAACAATCATACCTAATTTCTGAAGTTTGTCCCATATCCTATGAGCAAATTCTGTTCTCTCTTCAAGCTTTAGTTCAGGCAATAGAGAACCACAGCTACGTAGTAGGAGCAAGGCATGACTACTACCTGGGCCACCTGTGGAAAAAAGGTTAATGGATAACATTTAACATAGTAGCAATATCATATAGATAAATACCAAAATTTACACAGAAATCTACAAGCATTCAAAAATCTCCTGGCTCAAATTGAGAGTGTCCATAAATTAGAAAAATCCTATCCTAATGTACAATGTTACTAAGTTACAAGTCAAACTTTTAATATTAGTCTGCTTTCTTAAGAAATCTAAGTTATAAAATCTATATAATCTGCAAGACTGTATCAAACACAAAAATACAAAGAATCTAATTTATAGGCAGTGCTTGCTACAATTCAAAGGCTAAACTTCTCAGTATCTTATGAAAATAGTATAAAGGGCCAGGCGCAAATCCCAGCACTTTGGGAGGCTGAGGCGGGCAGATCACCTGAAGTCGGGAGTTTGAGACCAGCCTGATGAACATGGAGAAACCCCATCTCTACTAGAAACATAAAATTAACTGGGCGAGATGGCACATGCCTGTAATCCTAGCTACTCGGGAGGCTGAGGCAGGAGAACTCTTGAACCCGTGAGGCGGAGGCTGCATTGAGCCGAGACTGAGTCATTGCACTCCAGCCTGGGCAATAAGAGCAAGACTCCATTTCAAAAAAGAAAAAAAGAAAGAAAGAAAATACTGTAAAGCAGTGTAATTATCATCCATGAATAGAAAAGTTAGGTTCATAATCAGCTACAATATAAGCTTCCCTCTCCCTACATCTGTAAGCTTTATCTACATATCTCTGAAAGCTGACTTTAAAACAAAGCAAAAATAAACCACTTAGTGTGATTCCATTCATACAAAATATCTAGAGTAGTGCAAACTTACAGGGACAGAAAATAACTAGTGGTTGCCTAGGGCTGGAAGGGATAAGGAGTTGGGGAATTTCTTTTTGGGGTGATGAAAATGTCCCAAAATTTATTGTAGTGATGGATAAATAAATAAGTTAGAGAGAGAATGTGACACAGGTTCTTTAAATGTACGTAACAATAGTAATAATTGATACTTCTTTGGTATCTCTCACCATCAGATTCTATATCTACGCTTCTAAGTGTGTCTGAAACCCATGAATAGGCTTTAAGAAGCTACTGAATCCTCTTAAACTGCATGCAAAATTATGCATATGTTTGCATGAGGTTTTTGGGGGTCGGGGACAGGGAGTGAAGGACCTATAGCTTGCATCAGGCATTAGTGACCCAAACAGATTTTTAGTAGCTAATTGAAAATGCAAGGAAAATAATGGAAATCTGTCATACGTGATCATCTAACAGAAACCTGACACTCTACAATGGAAGGTAAGAAAAACTAGTATCTTCCAAGAAACTTACTACTAAAAGTGACTCCATAAACTAGGAAAAGCAAAAAGGCAATTTTTATTTTCGGATTTGGAATAAATATCTAGACCAGGCATGGTGGCCCATGCCTGTAATCCCAGCACTTTGGGAGGCCAAGGCAGGTAGATCACGAGATCAGGAGTGCAAGACCAGCCTGGCCAACATGGTGAAACCCCGTCCCTATTAAAAAATACAAAAATTAGCTGGGCGTAGTGGCATGCGCTGGTAGTCCCAGCTACTTGGGAGGCTGAGGCAGGAGAGTTGCTTGAACCCGGGAGGCAGAAGTTGCAGTGAGCCAAGATTGTACCACTGTACTCCAGAATGGGCGACAGAGTGATACCCCATCTCAAAAAACAAACAAACAAAAATTTTAAAATGTTTTAGTTACTCCAAACTTTGCCCAGATGAGCTGACAAGATAGAAATCACAATCACAACATAAATGACAATCAACAGAATATAACAAAGAAAATTAAAGTATCAAATAAGCTACTCTGTAATGAGCTTACCCTCAAACAAGTATTTATTTAGGTTGATGCAAAAGTAATTGCAGCCATTATGTTTAATGGCAAAAACTGCAATTACTTTTGCACCAACCTAATATTTAAGACTTTTTTTGTTTTAAAGACAGATGTCTCTCTCTGTCACCCAGGCTGGAGTGCAGTGGTGCGATCTTAGCTAACTACAACCTCTGCCTTCTGGGTTCAAGCGATTCTCCTGCCTCAGCCTCCCAAGTAGCTGGGACTACAGGCACGCGCCACCATACCTGGCTAATTTTTGTATCTTTAGTAGAGATGAGGTTTTGCCATGTTGACCAGGCGGGTGTCGAACTCTTGGCCTCAAGAGATCTACCTACCTCCCAAAGTGCTGGTATTACAGGCCTGAGCCACTGTGTCCAGCCAAAGGTCAACTTTATGAACAGGAAATTTTGACATACCTGAGCGGCAGGTGTCATCAAAGACTTTTTGTAGAAGCATCTTTGGAATGCGGCCAGTTCTTCGAACAGAATTATCTAGTCTCATCAGAGCCCAATCAAAGTGACTGGCAATCCTTCTAGAAGAAAAAGTGGACTCCTCTTGAATATCCTTTTTTTCAGCAGCAATGACATACAGCCTGGCTGGGCTCAGTAGTCCTCTAAAAAATGAAACATAATTAATAATAATCAGTTGCTATCTATTTAGGTCATTTTTTGAACAAAACTTACACAAATTTTTAAATTAGTTATTAAACACCTAAAATCACAGTACAATACCAAAAATAAAGGTATGAACTAATAGGAAAGAAAGTTTTAGCTTTTGCTTTAGATAAAATCATATACACACATACATAAATTATATGCACAGTAAATCTCCTGAATAATTGAGAGCATTTTGGTAATTTTGAACATGGAATCATTTCAAAATCAGATGGAAATATGGTGTGTTTTAAGTGTTTTTTAAATCTCTTTTAACCAAAACAAGGTAATGAAAGACGAAGCAGTTTATGCTGCAAAGCTCTTCTCACCTCTGTAAATAAGACGAAATCTAATATATATCCAAAATTTTTACAACTACCTTTAAGTTTTCTAGGTATAAGCTTACTATGAATTTAAAAGAACACCAATGTCCAGGTTAAAACAAGGCAGTTTCTTTTTTTTTTTTAAGGATAATTTAGGCCCAAATAATTTCTAATCTGTCTAAATAAAGTTGAAACACTTTAGAGTGATAATACTCTTAATTCTTATTTGCTGTGCAACTGTCAAAATGTTAGCTGTATTCTTTCCTAATTATTTAAAACAACTGCCACCAAAAATAAATAAAGCGTTAAACATCGTTAATTTTAAGGAAGCCAGAAGGGAAAGAAAATGATTACAAATTAGGTACGGTCAGAATTGTACATTATGTGTTTATAAAGAGCAAGCAATCTTTAAACCATTCACTATTTTAGTAATGGAGTCGAATATGCAAGTCAAATGCTCTCTAACATGAAATCTGAGGGATTCTATGCTGTACCGTTTTTTTTTAAATAAACACATTTTTTTTACAGAGACTGACTAGGAACAAAAAAAACACAATTTTTTAGAGTATTTTTAGGTTTATAGAAAAACTGCATTAGGTAGAGTTCCCATATATTTTCTTCTCTAGGCTATTCTAGGTAAAAATATAAGCTGTACCTGATTTAAAAGTATCAGATAAAAAATAATTCTTACGTGTGAAGGAAAACTTATCAATCTGAGTTGAATTTAAAAATGCTTTCTCTGTATTTAAACATCACTTTTAACAAGTGATTTCTAATTCTCAGTGGTTTACATATTTGTTGCCAATATCTTAGTTACAGCAGCCACTAAATACATTACACACTAAGTATATAATAACTAAGTATAATATAATCACATTTTTCAGACATACACATTTTCATCACAACGGTGACTTTAAAAATAAAACTTACATTTCTGTCCCATGTTGTTAATCTGAAAAAACCAGTCACAAATTGAATATCAAGTATGTGATGTTTTATTAAAGGAAGCTATACTAGAAGTTTCACCTCAAGGTTATATTAAACGAGGCTGTAATTGATACTAGACTAGAAATTCTACCACTGTGATCTGGGAGAAATCACGACTCTAAACATTAGTGATTCCACCATCTAGGTGGAAAATAATGGAAAAAATCAGGATACTGACTAAATAAGACAATGTCTTATTTTTGTAAGACCAATGATCAGCACATTGTAGATGGCTAATAGACTCAAGTTTGTTAAATGAGCTGAATTTTAACCTACAAACCACAGAAGATATACTCTTAAAATATGTATCCCTTACTTCCAAAAGGCATTTATCTGGTTGCTATATCAGTTGTTACTAAACTATCCCCTTCTTAATGTTCGGCAAGCACAAAGTGACATTATTTTTCAGTTACCCAGGACATGACAGTTTGGAGGAGTTTGCAATAATATTATTCAACAACAAAAGCTGATTAATAGAAATTTCAAAATTGTGATGTCTATTTGCCAAAGTTTTTTACACAACGCGAATCTGATAAATTGTTAAAGAGCAAAAATAAAACTTCCGCTACAGGATATTTTTTAAATTTAAGAGGAGACAAACTCAAATTTCAGGAAGAAAACAGATGTTTATAAACCAGCACATTGTTCTGAACATTCTAAGCAAATTTTTCTCATACACATGTCTTTACTGCAGCCGAGACTCCTTCACAGAAGCGCGTTTGGCTTTTTAGTTAAGTAGAAACATGAATCTGTTATAAAATAAACTGGGGTAGAGGAAGCATTACGTATTTAACCAAAGAAGTCTTGACTCTTCAGTTATATGGTCCAGAACTGATTTTTAAATGTACTCTAATACATCCTCGAAACAAGAGTTTCACAGCCTGGAGCAATGGGTATGTCGTGACAGAAAAGAAAGAACAGAACAAGTCCGGGGTGAAGGTGGGCCCTGCAAGAAGATCACACCCACCAGGCTTGCACGAGCTGGAGCACAATGCCTCCAAATGCTAAGGACCAAAATTGACATAACCACATAAGGGGAAATCATTGGATCATCTCATCCAAGTATCATACTGGCTCCTTTCCACTTCTTAAATGTCTCAGGTTCCCTTCACAGACTCCAGCTCCTACCACTAATATTCAAATTACCCATAAATGTTTTCTTGTAAAATCTGCCATTTAAAGTTATCTCTCAGCTTTTTTAAAAAAAAATTAAGGTGGGTTTTTTTTTTTTAGCTCTTTAATAGAAACTATCTTACAGTTGAGTGTCCATTTAATATA